CAGAGTAGAATATGATTTTTGCTATTTCAAGTGAAATATTTCTTGGGACTTGCTAAGCTAACAAAATATAATAGTAGTAAACATTTTCTTGGGAATGGTTCCTACCTAGCAGGGAAATCAATTCATTGACCCCAGAGATTTTCTTGTGTTGTTTGCTCCATTGGCACACTTAAAAAATAAAATTGGGAAAGCCAAGTGGCGTTTGCAGTCTTAACTTCCCATTAATGATCTTTGGAGGCTGTTGGGTGAAAACCCTCCCTCTTCCCTTCCACTTTCCTATTACCCTTAATATATTATTATCCAATTTAGCTTCCCTGCCAAGGGAATCTTTTGCTCTCTGATCTCTGCTGTAAGAGGAATGAAAAAGCACAAGTAAGCTGACTAAGTCTAAAGGAGCAAACTACACCAGGTTCATGCATAATGTAGCCATCATAGCTTCTGTTCTTTTAATATTAGTGAGTTCATATGATATTCAGTTCTCACACTCAGAAGAGATAGAGACTTATCTATTCCTTACTTATGAATATTATTTCTACCTTAATGAATTCTCTTTGCATCAACAGATAAAAATCCAGGAGACAGAGAATTCCTCCTCTCTTGAGCCCTTTTGATTATAAAACATTTTTTGTAATTTCCCATAAATTATGAGTGTTTAGTTTTCTTAGAAAATATATTTTAACATAGCTCTCATATACCATATTATAACACTATAATACTTCGGCTTCCGGATGCAAATGTAAACTAAGTAGCATTCTAGATTAGCAATTAAAAAAGACAACTGGAAATAAATTTAATTACAAAGCCAATCCACTTCAGTGGCATAAAAAATTGATCTTATGTAACTTTAAAATGTATGTCTACTGCCCTAAGTCCCAAGGCAGTAGAGTATTGGTAAGTATGAAGTGGGCTTATTTCAACCATGAGGGAACAGCTCATGCAAACTTCCTAGAGCACTTACTGATATAAATAATATGAAATGTTTGCTGAGATGCCATTGTAAGTGTTTCCTTCAGATAAATGCATTATAAACAATTAATAGTGGAGAATCTGCAGGAAGATTCACTCTGCTGCTTTAAAAGGGAAGACGCTACAAAGGAAGGGTAGTGAGCAGCCTTTTACATATATTTATATATATGTTTGTGTGTGTGTGTATATAAATATATATCTATCAACTAACCAAAAACACCCAACTGAGAGCAACAAGGGGAAAAACGCTTCTGTTCCTCACTCCTGTTAAAGTCCATGCTCAGAAGAACACAGCTACTCTTCGTTTGCCATTGCCAAGCTGCATGCTACCAGACTGGGATTTTGTTTTAATCAGCGTCATTTAAAAGGAAACAAATCACCATGTACGAGCTAATTCAGTTTGATGAGAAACCCAGGATGACAGAAGGGGAAGGAAGTGTTACAGAAGAATTTACTTCTGAGTGACAATTAAGTTTAGTGCTCAGATTAGCAAAAAGCAGCCTAGTCATCATCTGCTACGCTGCAGAGTGAGAAGGCTGAAAACATTAAACAGCAATTTGCTTTTATGGAAAAATCAGCTGGAAGTGGCTGCAGCTTTGTTTTTAAATATCCAAACGGAATTGTAAAGATAATAAGGTGGTGTGCAAAGACTGGAAAAAATATGGAGGTTCCTTGTTCAGGCACTGGTGGGTTGGTGTGAGGGAGGAAGAACCTACAAAACAAAATTTTAAAAAGATTATATTTAATGCATAACTCTTGGCCAGTAACTCTTTGTTCAGAAAAGTGTGAATTAGTGCTTTTTATTCCATCCAGCTTTGCTAGAAATCCCTAATTTGATGTATTGAAATTGACACAGAAATTATGAGGAAGCTTAGGATGGGGCGAAATCCTCCCACATGCTACAATATGCTTCAGGCTCAGCAGCGACTCTCTTGGGAGCCAGAAAAAAAAGTCTTCAGAGCGCCTGTGTGTGTGAGAGGATTTGTTCCAAAGGGGGGATTCTTTGCTTTTGTAGGGAGCTGGCATTGGGAAGCGGAGCAGCCAGCTTCCCCACCGTGCCAGATAGCGCTTCGCAGCCTGCGGAGACACGAGTGGGAGCTGTGCAGCACAGCTGCACCGCCAGGAAAGAGCCAGAGATGCCTCTTTCCACGTCCTGGGGATTGTCACTCTGAAAACTCCCTGGGAGATCGATCACAGGCACGTGGTCCTTGAAGGCTTCTGAGAACGGGTCAGACAAATGTGCCGCAGATGGCCCTTTGGAGATGGGATGGGATTAGATGACCTCTCAAATTTCTTTTTCACCCTATTTTCTGCAGCTCTGCAATCTATCTTTTGAGGAATCGCTGGTGCCAATTTCAGATCCTAAATAGCCTAGGATGAATGAATCTTCTTGATGAAATGTTATTCCTCAATCCTGCTCCATATCTTCCAGCTTGGCAGGCAAAGCACAGGGACCAGAGAGAGCAGCTGGTGAAGACAGCTCTGGTGTGGGTGCAACCGCTTTAGGGGAGGTGATACAGGGCAAAAGAATGGATTTGGTCTGAACCACTACAAAGTGAGGGGATTAACTGTTCCCTGCTCACTAGCTGCAGTGCACTTTCTGAGCACACAGAGAGGATTGGGAGATGGATGAAAGGTGGACACAATTTGGGAGGCTCCTTTCTCACATCCTCTCAGCACAACAGCTATCTTGATCAGAGGAAAATGATCAGTCACCTGTGATATCTCACAATCCCATTATAATGGCAGTAATACAGCAATTCTATGAACTTTCTCTCTCATCTCTCTTGGCAGACCACAAAATATTCTCAAAGGAAAGGCTTGCTGGCAGCGAGGGTTTAGGCCTGGGATAGCATAAAGGCTCATGCACATTTGGACCACATTGCTCATGCACTGTCTCTCCCCAGCTGGTAGGGAAACCCAGGGTCCCAGCAGGGCCCAGGTGCAGGGATAAGAGCTGGATAAGCAGGCCAGATGTACTTGGGGGGAGTGCTGGTTCATGGTATGTGAAAAGGGAGAGAATTGAGCTCTGCAACCACATTCCCAAGGAAAGGTGATGTGTGGTCATGTAGGCTGAAAGTCCAGCAAGGAGTGGAGGCACCGCTAGTCAGAAGCAGCAGAAAAAAATATCCAAGAAGTTGACTTGATGTATCCAAGAAGTATGACTGTGATGTAGCCAAACTCAGTCTGAGAAATGGGGCATCTGTAAGAGGAGTGAAAGCTGCCCAGAGATTTGCCAGTTACGTGTCTGTGACAAGCTGCTTGTTGTGAATTCAGATGCCTTTGTAGCCAGCATCTGGCTCTCACTGAGCATGTATTTTCAAGCATTAAAAAAACAGAAATAATTTCCTGTTGTGTCAATAATGCTTTCTGAATATTACTCAGTTCTAAATTGGGTGAGGTAGGGTTCTTATCAGGTATCCTGAGCCATCAGCCAAGGCACTCAGTTCGGGTTCATCTCACTGAGTAATGTCATTAGTGCTTTCTTTTCCTTTTGGCTCCCCAGCATGTCCCAAAAGATAGGATGTGCTATTTGCACACCCACCTTATGCATCTGAATCAGATATAAAAATCATGTGTCTTATTTCTCACTGCAGCAAACAGCAAGAGAGCACCCATTCCAGCAGAATTCAGAAAAGGGGCCTGGATGTGACAGGCTCCCCAGGGTCACTGTCCCATCCCCTGCTGAAATCACAGGTCAGCAGGTGGAGTGAATTGATGAATAGGGTTTAGGGATAACTGTGGCCCTCTGGTTGGCAAACAAAAACTGCTGCTTAGGATGGAAGATGGTTTAGAGAAGCAGCAATTTGAGAACTCGCCTAGAGAAGAGCAGGAACAGCTCAAGTTAATGGGCATAAATAAAAGCCTTTAAAGTACAGTGTGCATGCCTTTGTTTGGGGCAAAGTACTCTTAGGTTAATGTAGTTTGAAGGCTGCCTTACTCCCAGATGAGAAGCCTGTACATGGTGGTTTAACAGGCTTCGATATATGCTCATTAACTTTACACTCTTAGCTGGCTCTTCATAAATTTCTGATGTATTGACTCTTTTGGGAGTTCTCTTGGGTTTATTTTAGCTCTTTGTTGTAGTTTTACCAGAAAACAAAAGTCTCAGTGATTTCTAAGGGAAAAAAATAACCCTCAACCCCATTCAAAATACAAAAACCCAACAAACCCCAAAAACCCCAACCACCTCAAAATAGAAAACTATTTTAAAAGGCAGAAAAGGTAGCAATGGTAGCAATGGTAACAGAGACAGTTGTTCACTGGGGACACAGTGTACCTGTCACAGGAAATGCTGAAGGCACCAAAACAGCGAGGCAGGGTCAGTTCTTAGAATATGATTTGTATGGAAATATGTTGTGTAGCTTAAAGGTCCAGTTTTGACAATCTTTATTATTACTTTATGGGCTCCGAAATAAAATGTTGAACTAAGTATTGCGCTAGTAATACTTATGAAATGGTATTACAGAATGTGATAAAAGTTTATAGGAAAGTCATTCCTGTAACCATAAAGCACCGTCTCATCCCAAATAGCAGCAGTGGGGGAGCAATGTGCCTGCATCGGGTGAGCCAAGTGAGCCCAGGGGCTGATGCCAGCTCTTGGCTCGGGGGAAATAAAGCCCGGCTTTATCGGGACCCATCAGGCAGCCTCTCCTCCTTGCCGTGTCCCTGAGGCTGCCACAACTGGAGCTGCAGAGAGATGGGGATGCAGCGCCTGCCCTGAAGCCGGTGTCGGTAATTATTAACTGCTAATGGCGAGAAAAACCATTATGGTACACAATAGGCTTTCCTTTCACACCACTAATTGTGTGATGAACTTACTTTGGCAGTAAATTGTCACATCTGCTGGGGAGAGAGGTTGCACTTAGGGAAATACAATGGATACAGTTGCCATTCCTTTATCTCTGCATGATTGAAGCATTAAAAAAAATAAAAAATAAAAAAAAAAATAAAAACCAACAAAAAGACTTGGCAGATAGAACATATTATTTGTTAGACAAGGCTTTTGGGGAGGCAGTAATTTTATTAGGGAATTGAAACAGTAGGAAACAGGTGAGCTCGCACAAGACCTCCACAATTTGTTCTTTCTGCTCTGAATGCACTTTTGGGAGAAGCAGCACCAAAGGCCCCGCTGGAGGCACATTTTTGGTGTCCGTGCTTGCTGGAGGTTCCCTCTGCCCATGAGCTTCCTTTTGCTCCTACTTCAGTGGCTTGATCCCCCCTTTCCCTGTTCCCTCAGAGACAAGGCAGCTGTGTGGATCTGGAAATAAATGGTCTGGCAGAGCTGAGAGTAGTGTAGGTAGGGGATGTCACCTCCTCCTGCTGGCCACCGTGGTGGGCTGGCTCACTGTCACCAGGGTCATGGAGCTGATCCTGAGCAAATGCTACTTGGGCAGCTAAATCAACAAACAGTCTCGGTGTTGGGGATAAAAAACGGGTAGCAGGGAATAGAGAAATTAATAGTGGTTTGGGGTTTTTTTCCCCCAGGGAGAGAGGAAATTTTGGGACACTGAAGGACATTAGAGACTGGGGGGAAAAAATGTGTCCCCAAGGCAGTATTGCTGTGGGCTCTGTGACTCTTAGTTCCTATTTCTAGCCTCTAGTTAGTAATTATTAAACAACTGCTGGCTTTTTATCTGCTCTACCCTGAAATGTTCTAGAATTTAACACTTCTAGTCCTTTCATTAGTGAAACAATATTAGGAAAGAGAGCAATTCTCATTGAGTGCATCATTGCAATATGATTTCTATTGGTTTTCAGTCTTAAGTCTGTCACTAGTCCTCAGGTCTTTTAAATACTAGTTTTCATTATTTTCTATTTCTGCACACTAGTTCTAAATGTCAGTGTCCTAGCTGGTGTTCTGTGGTTTTTTTCTGGAGCTCCAGAAAATGTTCTGTTTTTCTTCACCTCTAGAAGCTGTTCTGTACCTATTCATTATTTACATTGCAAGATGGATGACACTTCAATGGACCAAAATCTGTTAGAAGGCAGCAGAAAAATTGTGTTCCATGAGCACTTTAATGCACTAGAACAAAAAGGGAAGGCAAGAAGGAGAAAAATTTGCAGACATATATTCAATTATTATTTCATTTTTCTACAGTAATGTCTACACAGTAACTGGATATTTTTATCTTTATTTAGCTAAGTACAAAGAAGATAATGTTATAATAGCACTTGTTGCATTTTTGGAGATTCAGTTCTGATCTGTATTGCCATTTTCAAACAAGGCCTTATAATTCTTAAGCCACCAGAATTTCAGTTAGTTGAAATGGAAATTTTGATCAAGAGATGGGCTACAGTATTTTCAAAACATTGTTCTTAATAGTCCTGAAGAGTATTTCTAAACCTACCAGTGGTGCAGCAGTATTTTCAGGAGTGCCTACAGTTAAATGCATGTTCCTCAGAGGAATTTGCTTTTCCTGGTGCTTAGTGTGATGCTCTGTACAATACGTGCAGGCAGATTGTCAAAAAATCACAGCCATCTTTAGGGTGCCTTAGCAAAAATCTCAAATTGCTTGAGAGGAATGACAAATCTTTTATTTAAATGTCCTCTAGCAAGAGTCCTACTTTCAGGCATATGTCTGTGTCGTGTCTGTCCCTCCTCTCAATGCCAGCTGCCTTTTTCTATGTCAGGTCTGTAAGGCTGGGCTCACGTTGCCCAAAGTCATATTTACACAATGCTCCTGTCAGTTTGATTGAGACAAATGCAGAAAGTGACAGATGGGTTAATGGTCCTACCACGGTGTCATCACATCACTTCAGGAAGTGGCATCAACATGCAATCATGGTGTGATGTGCTATTACACTTCATTTGTCTTTGGAACGATTCTGGAGTCAACAGCAAATCAGAGAGTGTCCCTTGCTTCACAATCAGCCATAAAACTACACATCCTGCTCCTGTGAGCTGCTGATGTTGTGCCATGCCTTAGTTCCTGCAATTGATTCCTGAGCCTTAACACTGTCTTTTGACATGGACAAAGGTCAGAGCTTCATTTTTTCAGGAATTTTTGTTTTCATTTCAGTTCAGAAGAAAAAACCCAAAACCCTTAACAACAACAGAAATCCATCCTAAGTTCCAAACCAATTTTGTGCAAGAACCAGAAGAACCATTGCGATTACCATGGCAGGTGTGAAGTGGAATTAATGTTTTTGTCATTTTTTTGTGCTTCCAGTATTGATAGGTGTAGTGACCATTTCAAGTAAGTCCTGTGAAGAGCAGCTGGGGGTGTTTAGAGAGAAAGAGACTCAGGGGGGAACTTATTGCTCTCTGAAAGTAGGTTGTAGCCAGGTGGGGGTCAGCCTCTTCTCCCAAGGAACCAGTGACAGGAAGAGAGGAAAGCCTTAAGTTGTGCCAGGGGAGCTTCAGGCTGGACATCAGGAAAAATTCCCTCTTGGAAAGGGTTTTTGAGCCTTGGAATGGGCTGCTCAAGTTGGTACTGGACACATCCTCCCTGGAGGAGTTCAGTAAACAACTGGATGCAGCACTCAGCGGTCTGGTCTGGTTGACAAGGTGGTGTTGGGTCACGGGTTGGACTCAATGACCCAAATCATTGTGTGATTCTGCTCTCCCCTCTCTGCTGTTTGCAGCAGTTCCCCCTCACCCTGCCAGGCTCTGCAGTGTGCCCCATGTCCACTTTGGAGCTGCACTGAAAAAGTTCAGATTCCTTGTGCTGCCTGCAGTAGGAGAGTTTCTACTCACTGCCAGCTCCCAGCTTGTGTCCAGTACCCTCAGTGCTGACACAGAAAGTTTTGTAGCTCAGTTTTTCATCTATGCCTGTGCTTGCACCACTTCCCTCCCATCAAAGCACTCCACAATAGGATGCTCTGGTGTTACATAACTTCTGTGAATAGCGAGGTATTTCTGCAAAAATCCATTGTGAAATGAATTGTGTTGCATTGTATAGGACACATAATATGACATTCTCTGGAGGAAACAATTGTTTGCTCAATAATGTCTATCACATCCAGCTCCTCAGTTTATGGTACATTCCTGTAAGGGCACAAGGATGTTTCTTGGTAAAATAATTGTGGTTTAGCTTAGAATATCCTCTTTCTAACCTCTTATCCTCTTGTTTTCTAACAAGAAACATACATAAACTGTGGGAAAGCAGTCTCATCATTGTCACAAGAGAAGTAGACCTTTTCCACTTAATTTATTTTGAGAAAATACATTTCCTGCTTATTTTCAAGATTGTTATTTTAAGATATGTCCACATAAATTAGATTTCTCCCTGTCTGAATCACAGATACAACTTAGGATTGGGAGACCATAAATTACATGAGTTATTTTTGTGGAAGAATATCCGTGACACTCCATTCTTTAAAAGTTGGGGTTTTTTAAAATTCTTTGCTTCAGGTATTCTGTGGATTGACTTGCAATCAAAAATTTTCTTTTGTTTTATGGGACCAGATTTAACCTTATTTTTTATTTCTAACAACAGGTGTCAGCAAAATGGCAAGATTTAAATGGCATCCAGTAATAGTTTTGTGGTGCCCCCACAAGTTTGGTTATCTGGTCTCATTTAAAAAGAAAAAAATCCTCAGAATATTAGAAGGTGTTCAATAAAAGGCTGCTTAGTTGTGGCCTCTTTGTTAATAGCCTTGAACTTTTCCTTAGCATTAGCTTTGATCACTGACTCTGTGTAATCACCTCCTATTTATGGGCCAGGTCAGCCAATAAATAAAAGTAAATTGGAGCTGGACTGTGGCCTTCTATCAAAAGGCACAGTTGTGTTTAGACCTGCAAGGTTAAGGTGCACTACATGTCATCAAGAGAAGCTGTCAGCAGGAGAAGGGTGGTTACTGTCCAGGTGCACCTCAGAACTTCCCAGGCTTAACACTCCTTTAAAGAGGATTCTTGGGATCTTACCCAAGGGAGACAAGAGCAGCTGTGCTGGAGGCTCTTAGAAAAGGACTTGTAAAACTTTGTTCACTCTTAGCAATGTGTAAAGTGTTAAATACTTCTGCAGAACAAATGTCGTGCTTGTTTTCTCAGCCTGAGTGAGAGAAGTGTATAAACATGAGACAAGAAAATGTCTGTGAGTGTCTTTGCATATTGGGGTTTTTTTTTCAGAAACTGTAAAGTCTCTATTAAGCAACACCTATTTCCAAGTTAAAACCAGTCCTTAGAGTAACTTTGACACATACTCATGTATGCAACATCTTCTGTGTGGGACTGAGTGAGGGCTGGATTTTTTCCTTTTGCCCTTCTTTTAATTCAGTTTTGTTATCCAAAATGGGTCCTAATTAAATCTGGTTGTGAGTAGTCTTACATGCCCTTGCTTCTGCTTCTATAGGATGGATTCAGGTAAGCTTTATTCAGCTTGTGACTCTTCTTGTGTCAGAAGTGGAAAGAAGGTCAAATCAGATATAAAAATATTTCCACCCCCAGTAAAGTAAAGGCAGTCTAGCAGGATCTGCTTGGAGCTTTCCTTTGGCAGGGTCAGATAGACACCTCAAGAGTCTGACAGATGATCTCTGATTAACTGAGAAAAAAAAAAATAAAAATCAATATTTATGTTAAGTAAACAGTGGTTGGCAAGTAGATGGGAAAATATCCATAGTTTAAAGTAATTGACTCATATATAACACACAAGTGGGGAAAAAAAACAAAGTGCAAAAACTTTTTCAAGATCTCAAAGTACGAGCATGGAGTTGCTCGCTGCAGGTCATACTCAGATACTCTTTCTGCTTATTTTTCTCATGTTTCCTGATGAACCACCATAATGCTGTTTTAAATTTGTCAAATTCAAACCATGTGAGGCAAAGGAGCCCTTACTCTGCACAGAGCTGAGCTTCACATGAATACAGTGCCTGTCATACAACAAAACCTCTTTGAAATATTTTACATGAGATCAGCTCAAGTACCTTCAACAAAAAAAATATACCTTTTCAATGCTCCTCTCTCCTTAGGAATTTTCACAAAGGCTAGTCTAGTCCACATACTTATATATATTTTATGTGTATTTTACATGCACTTTTTTTATCTGTATACTCTTATCCAGAACTGCCCTTCAGTTATGACCCCTGATATATGAAGATTTGTTCTGTTAAAGTATTAGTTGTATGTTTTACCATTAGGAAGATTATTCATTGCTACTTGTTAACTGTAAGAAGAGATAAATTAGGTTTTTATACATTTGTCTTAAACATCCCTAGCAAGGGGTCAGGAGCTCCAAGGAAGAATGAAGGTTAAAAGGAGCAAAATTCTTACTGCAGATGTTTTGGTTAATGTATATAAGAGCAAATGCTGGAGAAAGCTAAAGAATAGCATTGCTGGAAGACTCAGCTCCCTTCTGATTATTATGGACACATGCTCTAAACAGAAGTATAACAAACTATTTAAAATCAAACAATTCAGAATCAGAGATGGAAAACAGTTTGTTGCTGAAACTTCACTGGATGTGACTTTTGGCTAAGAGCACTCAAAGTGTGCACACCACCAGATCTGAAAATAAATGATAGACAGAAAATTGGCAGGATGCTCCCTGAGGTCTAACTGGTGTAATGTCATGTAGTTTGTAACTGCATGGACATTTGTCACTGCAATCCTGCATGAAGGACACACACTGTGCAAACCCTTGTTAATGTGTAACATTGCTTTTCAGTTCTGATGGTGAGAGCTGAGTCTGGTGTTTTCCCTTCTCTTCCCTGAATTCGTTGTGGGAAGCTATCTGATACTTTATGAACTGCACAGTAGGGTTTGCTGTGAGATATTCAAGTACCTGATTATAGCACATGCCTGTACTTGACAGCTTCATTGACAAATTTGTTAAAACTCTTTTCTCTTTGTGCCCCCTCCAGGGTATTATGAACTGCATGTGCCATGGGAGGTCACCCGGGAAGGCCTGTGTGCTCGAGAGGAGCACCTCATTTGCCATCTTATTCATACCTCTCAAGATTTTTAAGATGAATTATTTATCAAAGAAGCACCTGTCAGAAGTTTGGACAGCACATGTCTTCTTTAATTATTCCTGACTTTTTTCCTCCACTGAAGCACATGGTGAGTTTCTTGAGGAGAGAGTAAAGGTGCTTTGTCTTCAGGATATCACAGAAGAGACTGAAGAAAAATCTCTCTCTATTTGCTTGTGTGCCAGCAGTGACTAAAGACTACAATGTCCTGATATCTGTGCCACAGATCCCTGCTCAGATATTCAGCTCCCTACACGTGGGAGACTCCAGCCAGCACCAGCAGGAGCTGAAATGTGCTGGACTGACAGTTCTGGATGCTGAAGGTCTTTTTGTCACGTAATCTGCATTTTAATATACTAGACAAGACACCATCCAGTATCATCACGGTCTTGGTAACGAGGGGGGACGTGTTGAGAGGACACGAGAATTAATTACTCCAGCACTGAGATCAGGCACGTGTGAGGGGAGAGTTCCAGTGGGAAGGCTTCACGTGCACCTCCATCTGTGGACTGAACTGGCAGCTTCAGCCTAAGTTTTTCCTGTTCTTTTAATTTTCCAGAGAAGACTTCAGTGATGCTCCAGGTGCCTCTCAGCAGGGGAGTCAGCCAGCCCACATTTACTGCATGCAGAAAGACCAGAACACAATAAATTATTTTTCAATCAAATTTATATTGTTTATAAATATTGCTATGAACATTTGCATAGGAACTATCTTGTTTGAAGAGACATTTCTTAGGACCTTAACATGTGTAAAACTCAAATAAACACACCTCTGAAGAAGCCCTGGCATCCAAAGGCTCCCACAAACATCCTAAAACACTTTTGTGAGACCAACACCATGGAACATGCTCTTCTAACAGATAAGGATTGCAACTCCTGCGTAGGAAAAGCTATTTCAGAAGTTCTTGTTTCCCAAAGCACCTGCTAATGCCTGCCACTGAGCAAGGCTGGTGATGTGGCCAAGTTGGATTCCTGCTCTGGTCCAGCAGGAGCTGCCGTGACTCATTAGGCAGAGCACACTGATGAGAAGGTTTTCCCATTAACTCATGAGCAAATGTTCATTTCAGACAATGCTTTGTGAAAGACAATTGGTAAAATACCAAAAATTCCTGCATATGGGCTTTAATTTATCAGAGTAAACCAAGCATTTTTCACTTAGATCTAAAATGTGACTAGGTTTTCATGTAAGCTCATTGCTTTTCAGGAAATTGGAGCTATATAAACGCTTGATGCAAAAAGAAAAGCAGGCTGAGAGATACATTTGGAAAGGAATGAGAATAAGGAAAGGAAAACAGAGTGAATTAAGAAAATGAAGAGTGAATTATTTCCCCCTTCTCCATTTCTGAAGTGAGCAATGAGGGTTTTGCCTCCCAAGTCCCCTTTTGGAGCTGGGTTGCCCACACAGTGTCCTCCTGCCCCAGCAGCTCTGTGCCATGGTCAGGGCTCGAAGTTAGCCTCAGGTGGGCTGGCTGGACCCACCAAGGCAGCCAGACTTGGTTTCTTGCCTGTGAAAGAAAAAGACATTGAGTTAGAGCAAGCTGGAGCTCCTTCTTCACCACCTGAATTCAGGTAAGAAACTTTGTTCTTTGTGCAGTGAATTGGCTAAAACAAGTTACAGTGATATTCCACTTTAGGGGGGAGTGTGTGTCTCCCCACCTGGTGTTTTAGCTGAGGTCCTGCTCTGCTCACTCGTGTTTCTTTGGAGTGTTGCACAATAAACCAAAGGGAAAAGGGGCTAGTGGGCATCTGTGTGCTGCCTATATGCTGGGCTTTTGGAGAAGATGCTGCTTGAGGTGTGAAGGGTGAGCTCTGGAGGTGCAGGAGTGACTCTGAGCCCTGTCAGAGGGGTTTGCTCCAGGCTGCTCCTCAGGGCTCTTTGTGATGTGCTCTCCTGAGCATGCTGTGTGTTGTGGTCTCAGGCAGCAGGCTGGGGTTTTGTCCTCCATGTGGTGCCTGTCTGGAGGGTGTTAGAGGGGCTCCTTGAGCCACAGGTGAGGATGTCTCATTTTCTGGGTGCTATGAAAAGAAGTCTCTCTCCATACTCTCACTTTATCGTGTTTGCTGGAGTTTGGTTCACTTTGCTTCTTCAAGTGGTCATAAAAAGAAAAATAAAATTAGTTTGGGGAACAGAATTTTGGTCCTAACAAACTTCTGTCCTGGTGAATCTACCCCACCATTACCATATGAGAGATAATCTTTAGCTGCTGAGTAGGCTAGAAATCAGTTTAACTTGCAGTTGAGGGATGAGGTACTGATAAGAAGATTGTCCCAGCCATTGAAGCTTCCACCTTTTCAAGGATCTCTTTATTTGTGCTGCAGGGCAGTGGTGCTGGCTGCCCAGGGGTGAGGGGTCTCCCAGCCATCCCCTCTTTGGGATGTGGATAGCATCCCAGGTTATCCACTCCTGCTGGTGACTGGGAGCTCAGTGCTGGGCTGTGCCTCCCTTTCCTCCTCTTGCCTTGGCACCGAGGCTGCAGCAAACCCCAATGGGTTTTTTCTGTTTTCTTTGGCAAAACTTACACTTTCATTTCTAACTATGAACTGCTGTAAAGCTTAGGATTTTTTTTTCCCTTTTTGAGGTTTACTCTATATTTCTCCTCTCTTAACGAGTAGATTTTTTTCTTTGAATTCTTCCTCCTGTTGTTTCTCTGCTTGCAGCTAAGTCCCTTTTAATCTGTGGCTCTGTTTCCATATAGGTTGCTTCTGTGTCAAACCATACATGTTTTTCTCTCAACCTTCTTCAGTATTTTTCTTTGTCACCTCTGTGATAGCCTTATTTACTGCCTCCTGTTTCAGGGCACAGTCATTACTTCTTTTTTGGGATATGTTAGAGAAAATTTGGAAACTTATCAATAGAGGATTGTTTGAATGTGGTTTCAAAAGTCTCCCTCTTGATCTGAGTGACTGAAAAAGGAAAGCTTCAGTTCTTTAAAGACTTTTTTTTTTTTTTTTTTCCCAAGGTACTAGTGGAAAAACTGTGGGGTCCTCTGCTTCTAGTGAAACTACATGTAATGTGAGATGGGGGGAAGAATCGACTTGAGTCATCCATTTTAATAGCAAATATCTGACCTTTCTTTTTCCCAAGGGTTTTGTGCCATTTCTGCACATCTCTGTTCTGCTTTTTTATGATCTTGTGGTGTTTCATGTGCTGTTTTTTTTCCTTCGTATTTTATTTCCATACATAGAGTGTCTAAATTTGTAATAAATTCCACTGCAAAAGAACTCTGTTATCTGTATCAATAGAGCTCTGCAACAAACCTTTCCTTCCAAACCATATTTACTGTACATACTCTATTTTTAAACAGCAAAATACTTACTTTGAGTGGAAAAAACAAACTAATTTTCTTAATTAACTTTTTTATGGAGGGTTTAATGCATGTTCATTATAGAAATTGCAGCTCTCTTCCGAAAAATTGACTGTAAAAAAAGTTCTTTGCGGGGTTCCATATTTATTGTGCCTTAGTGATTTTCATATAAAATACATGCAGGTTGGGACTGAAGAGATGCTTTTGTTTTTCTACCTGGCAGCTTTGTGCATTCAACTGGGGCTCTGGCTCAGGCTGGGTTTTTTGCCTCCCCATGCATCAGCACCAGCAGGACAAATTACAGCTTCTGTTTACACCTGCCTGTTCAGTGTGCTTGTGCAGGTGTGACAAAATACAGCCTAGCAAACGTTGGTGTGCGAGGGGACTCAAATCTGGCTTGCCTGCTGTTGTGCTGGCCCTGTAAAACTAACAGGACTTGGGAAGGGGGAAAATAATTTTTCTTTTTGGCATGGCCACAGGTACGTTTACATTTGAGGAACACATCTTCTAGACAGACAAACAAATAGTTGACATCTTCACACAGTCATATCCTGGAAAACAACTGTGCTGTTAGCCAGGAAAATAAATCCTTTTGCATTGCTGGTTGTGTTCTTAGCAGCTTCTATAGATACCTGCATCTGGGAGGCTGTGGGACAGAGTTTTTCCTTAATTCCCCAACAAAAGTTCTTTCAGTTGTTTAACTTAAAGCTGTTTACGGCCCAGGGTTGTTGGACAGCTCCTGTTTGGTGAGTATTGTGTGGATAGGCATGATCAGCACCCAGGTTCCTGCAGTGCTGCAGGGGAATGAAATCTCTTACCTAAAAATTCTGGTGGGTTCCAGTGTGAGATGTGGGTCATTGAGGCAAACAACTCTGAGGCACCCAGGGCAGAAGATTCACTCCCTGGAGGACAATTCATCCTCTAGAGTGTTTGAAGATTTTGGTGAGTGGCCTTTTGGGACACAGTTGGCTACTTTGTGAATTAAAGTTGATCCTCAAGTGGAGATTGGTCACAATCAGTTTGTCCCAGGGTATAAATTCACAGGTATTTTTACTTACTTTTTTTAGACCAAGTAAAGCTTTGGTTTCTGAGCTAGCACCGAGACCTTCAGTCACCTCACCCTAAAGCTGTTGCTTGCAGACATCTCTTCCTAAACCAGTGCATTCAGAGGCTGGAGCAGGCTCTGTAATGCTCAAGTGTCTGGAGATTTTTCTTTTGTGACATTTTGAAATCTGCTATTTGCAAAGTAAAATGGACAGAGGAGAAATCCACTTGTCGCTGTTCATTTATTAAGAAATCTTGATGGTTATGAGAGCAGTTACATCTTCCTCCCCCATCCACTCCCTTGGAAATATCCAGCAGGATGAGGGACAAATGAACTCCTTGAGTTCTTTCTAAATATGATTTGCAGGATTTTTTTTCTGATTACAGTGTATAAACAAATTAATGGAAGAGGTGATCATTCTGTTGACCAGTTCCCATGTGATTGCTGTATTTGAGATTATTGTAGAACCCCAATGTGTGGCCACAACTATTTTGCTTTATCCCTATGACTTATTTCTCCCACATGCTTTTCACTTCATTTTCTTTTTATAATATTGACACATGTTCATCCTACCTGAGGTTGCAACTTTATTAAACACCCTTGTAGTCCATCTTGTCACAACATCACTTTCAGTGAAGAGGCTCTGCATATTGTTTTAATCAAATAGGTTGCATTTTATTCTTTTGAACTGTAAAATTGCAAGCAGAAAGACCAGCATAAGAACCCTGAGAATTAATTAGTTGCAAATGGGCTTCTTGGCACATAAGGAAAGGCTTTCATTTTGCTGTTAATATAAGGGAAATATGATTAGAATTCATCAGGGAAAAAAACCCCTAAACTTGTATAGGTCATTTGAACTGTATTGGGCAAGAATAGCAGTTCCACACTTCTGTGGAAGATGCTTACCTAGAATTAAAAATATGTGCCCCTTAACACATGGTACATGTTAATTATTTTCTGCAGTGTCTTTTGAAGCAAATTGTCATGTAGCCCAGGGTGAATGGGTTTGCTCCTTGGTTTTGTACCCAAGCAGCAGTACTGGGTGGGTGGTATGCACTGCAAGGTTGAAGTATCTCTCTATGTCCAGGTCCTCTAGCTCTCTCAGTTGCCAGAAATAATGGCACAAAGTAAAAACAAAAAAGGAGAGACAGAAACCAGAGGATGAGTTCTCCACATGGGGACCACCCCTGAATCCAGCAGTCTGTGAGCTGGGGCTCCATGCCAGGGCTGTTTGTTTAAGAGCAGTGACACACGTCCTTTCAGCATGCACCAGGTTTGGAAACCCCTGGACTTCATGGGCAGCACATTCCACAGAGCCCAGCAGATTCATTATCCTTGTTGTCCCTTTCTTTCCTTGAAACAGGGGGAAGGGAAAGACAAGCTCTTTGCCTTTGTCCTCACCCTCCAAGTTTTGCTAGGGCCCTGAGAGCTGTTTGTGTTTGTCAGGGCAAGACCTCTATCATGACTTAATGCTGCAATGAGACAATATTATCAGAAGCCTTTTGGGGCTATTAACTGAGACTGTGTGTTCTGCCATCCAGGGAGGAGATTAATTCCCAGGCAGTGGTCTTGTTTTCTTCTTTCATGGTGTGAAAATACTGTTTTGGTGGGTTAATTATCTGTGTGTAGCAAGGAACAAAGGTCAGGGATGTGTACTGATATTCTGAATGAAAGAGAATTTTCTAAGTAATTGCTGAGAAAAGTCAGGAGTTAAGAAAACAAGCTGGACTTCAGGTTCATGAAGACCATAATCGCTCCTCTTCTGCCTTCTGAGATGCTGCTTGTGTAAAGGTCATTAAAATAAAAAGCTTGTGCTAGTAAACAAAGCCTCCTTGATGCCAGAAGACATGAAAATACCATGAAGAACATCGTCTCTCCATTCCTGCTGTTCGAGCTGCAGTTGTTTGTTGTGGCTATGAGCGAGCAGATCTCAGGAAATTAATGAGCTGCTGCCTTGTTAAGCATGGTAGAATTTAATGGAAATGTGTTCTTAATTTGTGGGACCCCGTTTTTTACTTCTTCTCTTATACTTGCTGGTGAAGTATTTATTAACTTGCTAGTCATGCATCATAGAGGGAAAAGGAGATGTCTGACGAGGGATGCAGGTTTGATGTCTCCATGTCTATAACAGGAATTGTTTTCCATACCGGTATCCTGTTCCAATGTGTTTGTTACAAATATGCAACATTTTATTTTGGCTCACTTTTCACATTGTTGCACACGAGCCTGCATGTCAGAGTACATGGATTGGGGTCTTCAGAGAATAGGCCTATTCATTACCAATTAAAATCAGAAATTGCAGAGCTTTTGCTCCCGTTTAAGGTGGCGTCTCTGAGAAGTGACTTTGAAAACACTGTCTTAAACAGCTCAATCTTTTGATGAAAACTTGAAGACTGAAAGCACTATGTTAATTAGTGGAGCAGCAAATCAATAAACGTATCACGACTGCTTCATCCACTGTCCAAATAAATGAGTTCAGTATTTTACATCTGCATTTCCCTTCTTTACCCTTCACCCCACCGAGATAAAGAATTTAAAATCTTTGCTGCACTTGCAGCTGTATGAAGGACAAATTAGAAACTGCTACTTTCTGTGAATATAACAGACTGATGTATTAGAGAATTTCTTTCCAAAAATTACTTTCATTGGAAGAGCCAGATAAAGTAATCTATTTTAGATCCATCTTTGCAAATAGGTTCTGTTGAAAAGGCTGACTGCTAAGACTGTTTGGCTCTCTGAATGAATCTTGCTTTTGAAAAGTGTTTAAAGATTTAAGCTTAGCCCTAGACATCAATTTCCAAAAGCTTTTGGACTTCAAACAATGAGCTTAACTAGCCTCTAGAATAACATGAAAGGTAGCAAAATGTCTAGAACATCTACTGAAAAAGCCTCTAATATCTCTAAGTGCCCAATTTATCTCTGGATTTAATGTTAAAACTGATGGAATTTTTAAATGGGGAAAAAGTTCTTCTGAAATATAATCATAAGCTGCTCTAAAACACTGTTCTGAACCGACTGGGACAGATATAGTTTCTTACATACCTATTTTGCAGTAAGATATGCTGCTTGAGGGGATGATTTACTGTTTCTGTCAAAAGGAGCTGCAGTTCCTGTTGCAAAAATGTTAGAGGCTGAGTCTAAGGGGATTAGCAGATTTTAAGTTTAAGCTTTTTAGTGTGTCATTTGGTTAATTTATGGTACCTCTTCTAGTGGCTGTGGAAATGCTCTGGTTTCTAATATGGTACCACAGATAGTTTTATTGAGAATTTTAATTGCCTTACTTTTAGCATTTTTAACTCTCTTCTAACCCTCTTCTTCCCTCATTCCTTTCCAGAAGTGTGGACTCCTGTTTGACTCCAATTTATCTACTTTATCCTTACTCTACTCTGCATTGTAACACACCCAGGGGTTAGATGTGGGGATGGAAATAAGCTGGTGTGTCAGAGTGATGGTTAATGTCTTCAATAAATGTTTCCAGTTCCATAAGGATAAGGAGGCCATAGAGGGCTTGCCAAGATGTGGCCGCAGCAAAACAGTCATCACATTTTTATGGCATTTTAATTTGCATTAAAAGGGAAGGACACAAGTTTGTCATCATTTATCACCCCAACTCTTCAGTCAAATTTGTTCTGCTGTGATGATTGTTTAATCTAAGATGGGATTTAAGTGCTTTGTCAGCTTCCGGGTACACCTTTTGGGTTTGTTATTTCATAACCTGGCGTGAGACCCTGGGGGATATCAGAATCCTGACCCACCTTCCCTGTAATTTCTCCAAATAATCTCTTTGGGTGCTTTGCACTTCCCATGGGGCCTTCTGGGGTTTTGGGGTTTTTTTCCCCAATAGTTTTTTTGATGGTGTCTTTTCTGTTGTCAGCTCTGTATTGTTCACTGTAAAGAAAACAGGGCTGCTGCCTTTTATCACCCTCTTGTGCCCCCCAGTCCTCTGGATTATTGTTCATTTCTGGAGAGGTGGTATTTTGAGGTGTTAATTAATATTTTGCATGCTTGTCCTATGTTTCTCAGGCCCATCCTACCTTGTCTCTTTCTAGGATTATAAATGATGGTGTTTTGAGTCCCAGTTTTAACTTGGGAAGCTCGAGTTACAAGACCAAGCTGGCATCAAATTACCCATGTGTCTCCTTATCACAGAAGGTTCTTGGTGAAATTAATTTCCTTCTCATAGTCTCCAATTAAAATACAGTTTATCATGATGTACTTTATTGTGACTCACATGAAAAGACTTTAATGGATTATTTTTCAGCAGGTGGAAATGCTATTTGTAAGGCTTTGGGTGATTTCATGTGGCACTGCTTATACATATGGGAGGAGAAAGAAAATTCTTGATCAGTTGATGGATTATTTCTAAATTGGCTTTGTCCTTAATGTTTCAGTTGCTAATAATGATTTATAATGCTTGACCATTTTCTCCTCCTTTAGGAGCAGATCTAAAAAATTGCTGTATTTGCATGTTCTGTTCCAAAAAATATTTGGTTTGGGATTTTTTCAGCACTGTTATTGTCTCATTCTGTTCTGCACCTAGACGCAATGTCATGTTATGAAGGATAACCTTGAGAGCTGCAGTGTCACTGGTGACCATGGATGTATTTGTACAACCCAAGGAAAGCTCAGTGTAATTATTAGCTATCAGGGAACTTTACTCTGGTGCTAATAACTATTTCAGAAGTAATAACGTTTCAAAGGATATTAGGGGCTGTTTTCTATTGGGATTTTTCATCTGCTAAAGCAACGATCATGTGTGCCCTTCATAAGCACCTGAATGCATGTTTGAATCCATTCTTTCCAGAAGCATAGCTAAATATCTCCTTATTTTTGAGGATATTCTCAAGTGTTACAGGCGTCAAATATGTTTAATATTTGTTTTAATATTAGGAGAATCACTTTAAGTTTTGAAGTGTTTCAATGCTAGTTTGACAGATGTGCTTGATAATCCCAAATCAATTTCGGTCAGATTAGAATAATTTGACAGGTTTAGCTGTTGATGGCGGGGGTGGGACCATTTTGCTTCAGTTGTTCTGCCCAGCTATTCTAATTAATCTCCACTTAATTTAAAGAAATTACTTACTGTATCCGATAATGAGTTAATTTGTAATTCAATTAGCAGCGCCATTTGCAAGGCTTTAATGCGAGCAGAAACACCTGCTGAACCGCTCAGCCTGAGTGACACCTGGGAGGGGGCGATGGATCTCCCTGCCCTGGCCTGCCAGGGAGGGCAAGGCCTCCAACACACTAAATTTGTACTCCTTGAAGGTAGCTGTCAAGCAGTGTGGCCAGGAAGGGCTTTTTTCCTGCAATGCTCAGGGTCCTGCTGCAATTTGACAGAGCTGTAAGGTTTAGGACACGCCACTCCTTGTGGGTTGTTTTGACCCAGCTGTTGGCAAGGGAAGCTCTCTCATTCTCCTGCAGTGCTAAACTCTCCTATTATTTCTCCCCATTTCCCACACCCCAGGTGCTGTGGAGATTTCTGGTAGCCATTTAGCAAAGACAATAGGTCAATGTTTAATTATTTTAAAATTTTTTAAATTTTTATGTCCCTAGTGCTGCTGAAAATGGAAGGATGCACCACAGAGTTTGTATTTTTAACAATGCTCTGAAGGTTTGGGGAGTCTGAGAAAAAATTAAATAGGTGAATTTATTGGCTGAATAGACATTTTGAGCTGTAATCTTGGCTGGACTGCCTTGCTAATATTTTTTATTTTAGACAGAAAGAAGAGGTTTGGTTTTGAGGGGTTTACAATGAGAATACTGGCAAACAGCTCCATTTTAAAACACCAAAACTCCCCCAAAAATAGCCCACTCCCAAACAACGCAACCAGCTGAAAACCCCACCAAATAATCTGCAGATCAGTCACTTTCTATAACTATTTTGCATCTGATTGCTCTAATTAGTTGAAAAATGGAAACATGTACCTTAGCTTTGGGAAGCTGTAATTCAGCAAGGAAGGTGGCTATAAAATTATCTGCTCAAAATGCTTACACAAAGCACCCAGCCCTTGTTAAAGAGAAATTTTGGGGGTGGTTATGATAATAAAATGCAGATAATGACATGAGCAGAGTAGAAAAAGCAGGTCTGCAGAAAAGTGGCACAACAGGAAGGGTGACAGAGGGTGGCATAACACTTAGTTCACTGGGAAAGGAAAGGACAGAGGAGGAAAAAGAGATCAAGTGTCTGTATTTCCTACTAGACTGTGACTCAGGGTGGGATTTAATCCAAATGACCAGATTTAATGCTTCTAATCACTTTTTTATTCTGCGGTTCTTTTTTTCCCCTCCATGACTAGCACCATTTAAGAAAAGACTTAACAGGCCAATGTTCATCTTAATTATGCTCTTTCAGGTTTGTGCACACTCACAATGCCAAGTATTCAAGGCAAGCCAAATTTTTCCTGCCTTTGGCAGAGGGAATTAGACGCCTGCTCCTAACACTTATATCCTATGTGCTGTATGTCACAGGCCCATTGAAGTAAGAGTGGAAATGTTCAAATGAGGTTATAGCTTCTGAATATTTTAGATGTTTAGAATCACAAATAGAGGAAGGTAAAGCAGAGTTCGGCTGCCAGTTCAAGACTACTAATTCGTGGATCCCTTATATCTGAGGGTTGCTGGTTCTTGGCATGGTGGGTGCACAACTGTAGTGAGTCCTAAACACGCACACCTGTGGTATCTGCATTCAGAATCACACCAGGTGCCTCTTACAAAATTATTTTTGAATGAGCATCAATGCAAAGTGACAGCCACTGCTGTATTTGTTTGGTTTTAGAGTGTCCTAGGGACTTGGAGGTTTTTGTTGTAACGTTGTTTCTGGGAACTGAAGCTGCTGTAAGACCAGTCACTGGCTCCTGTTATTTCTTTGTCTACATGGCTGGAACACCCTTCCCCTGTGGTGTGCTTTGAGAGCTCTTTATTTGTGGCATTTATGAATAGTAAACATAAAAATGATAAAATTTTACCACTAAAATTTACATGAATTAATTAAATAACTGGGCAATGTAATTAAAATCACACAGTCCTTTTTTTTTTTTTTTCACTGACTTTTATGACTTACTGTTATTTCCATATTCCTGAAATAAGGGTTCCTAAATTGGAATGCAATATTTAGAAATACATTTCTCTTGGTGTGCAACTCAAGATGACATTAGCCCCACTAATTTAACGTCAGCCAAGAGCTCCTCTTGAGCAACTTAACTCTGATCCTTAAACACTCTCTAACTCATTTTGGGTTCTCTTTCCATATGGTTGTGTTAAACATATTCTTAGATTATTGCTAGTTTATCAGGTCACTGTACTGTCACCAATTTACCTACTTATTTTTTCATCTTACTGCTGAAATAATTTCTGTGCCCTCAGCTCTTTCACAAAGTGTTTCCAGCTGTATGTGCCTCGTTACTGACCTGCATCAAACCTGATCCCTTCAGGATTTCACTCACTCAAATCTGCTCTGCTGATGTTGCCTATATCTGGTAGAACTGTACAACTGTTAAGTCTTTAAATTTAGAAAGGAATTGTGTAGTTCATTAATGTGTCCATTATAAAGATCTTTAATTATGTTGTGAACATCTGAGCTGAGATAATCCCATGGTAAAAGTCTAGCTTGTATCATTATTTTTGCCCTTATCAGTCAGGTCTTTGGCCTTCTGCACTTGAAAAGCAGAGGGAGATTTTTTTCCAACACAAATCCACTTGCTATCAAATACTTTGATAATCCCATACTAACTTTGAAGTTATTTTGACTTGTGTTTATGTCAGACAATTACTTCCACAGGATCGTGGGATAATTCAGGTTCAAAGGGACCCCTACTCCAGCCTCCTCCAAGCAGTGTTAGATGTGAGACAAGGCTGCTCAGGGCATTAACCAGGCAGACCTTGAAAACTTCCAAGTGTGGAAACTGCACAGCCTGTCTGGGTCCCCCTTTCCCTGTCTTCATGGTAAAAAGACTTCTCTTATCCCTTTTACCTTCACACAATTTTTATTAATATCTGCAGAGTTTGAAGTTAAAAGAATTTTTTCATAGTCTTTATTAAGCTGGCCTAGGTTATTACTTTAAAAATTTTAGTAAGTGATGGGACAACATATAGTTATTAAATCAATGCAAATCTGAATAGGAAGGGTTTTGTACAAACTTTCTGCTTTGACACAGAAGATAGTTTTGTTGGAAAAATGTTTTCCATTCTAAACTAAAGAACTGTGTTGTTTTCCAGACAAATCAAATCTTTTAATATATAGTTCTGTAACAAGATAATGTTCTGTACCTTCAGAGCAGACATCTGAGTGGCTGAAGGTTGCTGCTGCTGATGGCAGTTGTCACTGTGCAGTGAGTGGATGCTCCAAGTCGAGTTATCACAAAAAGCATGCTGGGTTAGACAGGATCAGTTTGTGCTTCAGTTGGCAGAAAAGCTGCGCTGTCCCTGGGGAGCCTGATCCAAGGCAGAAGGAAAGCTTCTCCAGAGCTGAGCTGTTTCTGTAGAGGAGATGACATCTGCTTGCATTGTTTTATACCTGTTCTGAGAGTCTCTGTCGAATAGTCGTCTGCGTTAGCATCCGAGGCTGCCAAGCCAACGCACCTCACAAGCACTGCAATTTCCCTGTAATCCCTCCCCTGTGAATTGAGGCACACTCAGAGTGAATTACTGGGAAGAAGGATGGGAACTGTGTTGTTCTAGGGGAAGCACTTTAGGAGCAGATACCGAGAGTGGGGAATGATTCCTGCACTGATCATAACACAGTGTTCTAAAGTGCTGTCCCTTTGTCTCCCAGGGCAGACTTAAGGGAGTGCTTTGGTTTATTAAATGTCATTTATCCCTCAGCTCTTTTAGTTCTTTCAATCTCCTCTTCCTTCTAGTGCTGAGGAAAACACAAGTCCACACTGGACAGTACTTGGTAGGTTGTTTACTCAGCAGAAGCCCAGCAACGTCACTAAGAGACGGGGAGCCAAATTCCAAATAGCAGAGCTGTTCATAATGATGGACTTCAAACTATTCAAGCTTCAAATTGCAATTACTATTTATAGCAACTTTAAAATACCAGTGTTCACATTTAAAACACCAGCCCAGCTGTAGGGTAGACATGAGGTATTTTGGTGTGGGCCTTTGTTAGAATATATGAAGTTGTAAGGATGACTGAAAAGGATCCCTAGGTTTGCTAGCTTGAACACTTCAAACGCTTTACACTTTAGTGTAAAGCCCAAAGTCTTTGTTTTAAAACATGTGATTCCCAGTGCTGCTGCTGCACTAGGTCGGGTGAAGTGTCCATCCAACTTGTGTCTTATTTCAAACTGTGGGCATTGGAGGAAAGAGCATTAAAAAAGGTGTGAAGCAGAGGATGATATTTTTCCTAGTACACCTCCAATTTAAAGACTCCCTGGGGCAGTATGCAGTAGCAAGTGTTCTGGAAGGTGTGAGGATGGCACAGCGATGTGCCTAGGCTCATTTTGATCACTAGTTAGATAAATACGGTGCTACAATTGAACTAGTGCCTGTCGCCTCTTCTACCCTAATAATTCCTTTCAAAGTTTATCTGATCAATTGCATTCAATCTAGGAAATTCATCTTGATAGTCAAATTGTAAAAATATCAAGAATGAGAATGTTCAGCTACGTGGAACACGTAATCTAAACCCAGTTCTTTGCCAATAGTACACGTTAATTATTATTTAAGATTTAAACATGGTCTTAGTTTGAATTAACTGGAAGAAAATGCAGCTTCTCTTTGGAAGACCCATCCAGTTGTTCTTTTTTTATTGTTTCCATCACTATAGGGCAGAGTTAAAGCTGTTTGGATGGCCTCAACTGTAATTATGCTATTGCAAGCAATTTATGAAATGTTTACATGCATATAATACATTGTATATTAACTTCATTAACCCTAATGCGCTTTGGATCAGGTCCAACATTGATGTGTTGCTGAATTTGTAAAATGCTTTGGGATACTTCAGATAAAAGGCGCTGTGATAAAGTGGGAGTTAGTAATTACCATAAGCATGAGGAAGTGGTTATATTTGACTCTAGCCATTGACCCATAACTCTTGGAAAGAAATTGAAAACTAAATGGGAGAGACTGCAGAGTAGCATCCCATCAGAAAATCTGTGCAATTTCCTAGTGTCTAATCTAAGCAGCCAGTTCTGAAGGCAGAGGGTGAGAGGTTTTCATCTGGTTACAGCTGAACAAAGTGCCGAGTGTGTCTTTCCCCAGCCTGCTCTCTGTGCTGATCTGTGGGCTCGCCTGCAGCGCGGCCTCCGGAGCGTCAGCACGGCCAGCTGCACTGTTCCAAAGACAATTCCCTGCCACAGGGTCCTCCTTCCCCTCAGCTGTAGTGACCACCCCTTCCCCTGTTGCCTACAACACCCATCTTTGTGATCAGTCACCCTGTGGTGATCTGGTGTTGGTGTTCACCTCCACGGAGTTGCTGGGCTGAGTGCTGGCAAGGCCGCAGACTGACACGGTCAGGTACCGGCAGGACAGGAATCGGCCAGGCTCCACATCTCATGAAATCTGGGCATCATCTGCCTGGCTACCAGCAGTGGAACTTGGTTAGCAGGAGACAAGGAGAGCACATCTGAACTTACAGCACCGTGTGTCTCACTGAGGCTGGGTTATGTAGAGGTTTTTCCAAGCGTGTGATTGCTACAACTGAGGGGAGGCCTTGTCCCAGTTTCCTCATGAGGGAAAGCAGAGGGGCAGGCACTGAGCTCTTCTCTGCAGTGACCAGTGACAGGACCCAAGGGAACAGCCTGGAGTTGCATCAGGAAGGTTTAGGCTGGGTATTAGGAGTTCTTCACCCAGAGAGTGGCTGGGCACTGGAACAGGCTTCCTTGGAAAGTGCTCAGGGTCCCAACCCTGCCAGAGCTCACAGAGCATTTGAACAACATTCTTGGGCAAGGAGTGGATTTTTGGAGCTGTTCTGTACAGAACAAGGAGCTGGGCTTTGATCCTAGTTGAGTCCCTTCCAGCCCAGGATATTCTGTGATGTCAGCGTAAGGAGGCTAAGCACATTCCTTCTGAGATAAGGGAAGAAGAGAAAACTTGCCTGTCTAGTGTAGTAGCAACTACTAAGTACATCTTGTCCTTGTTTCTTGGGATTTATATTTGGGGGTTTAAGTCGTCTATTTTTGGTTTTTAAACAGAAGATGGTCCAACTCCTGTATGTTTATATAGAAAATTCTACTGGAGGTGATCCCAGTGCTAATTGTTAACCAATGAATGTCACAATAGCATAGGCAAGAGCTCTCTGGACAGCAGGAGAAACATGGAAACACAGATACTTACATGAAATAGGTAAATAACTTTAAAATAATCATTTACTCTTCTATTGACTATGCATAATGGTGAAAGGAGCTTGGGGAAGAGGGGGGTAGTGCACTTTTGAGTGTAAAGTGAAACATACTACTGAAATCAGTCTGTCTCTGAAAATTCTGAAAATAAGGTACTGGGGTGAGGTTTTGTTTTCACTCCTCTTGAAAGAATCATGCTGTCTGTGGCTCAGGAACATGAATTCACCTGTCCTGCCCCTCTTCTGCCAGGTGTTGGTGGCTGTCCTGTAGGTTGTAGTTAAGCTGTAGTGCTGTGCAGGAGCCTGAAAGCACCACAGACAGAACTGAACTTCCTCCCCATTTTCTGCTATTTAATGACTTTCCCATCAGAATATCAGAAATATTATTTATTGCATTTCCTATGTTAACGTGGTAAATATTTGTCATGGTGAGTAATCCACATGTCTGCCATATAAAAGGTCACAACAAACGTGTGATTTGACAACAGAGTTGTAAACCATCTCTTTCTTCTGGTGCCAGTTTTTGTGTACAAAACCTACTTCTCACTGCTGCAGAGAACACAGTGGAAGTCCCAAAAAATGCAAATGTCTTGAGTTAGAAGATGGATGTCAGAACCAGCCCCATCATTTACAGGGCAGCTTTGTTTCTAGACAGAAAATGTCCTTGATGTATTTAAAAACAAAATAAAAAATCTCCTCGCAGCAAGGAGTTCAAACCCTCCTCTCCCAATGAGAAAGAAGTTAACTGCACTGTGTGGCACTAGATATAATCTGCTTACAAAGAGGGCATATTTTAGCCAGTAAAGCAATTTATTTAGAAAAACAGACATATCAATCTAAGGTAATTACAATTGCAACAGGAAAATTAAAGTAAGTACCTCAGAGGCACTTGTTGTGTAAGGAATTTTCAAATAGAAGCATACTGGGTGGAAAAATACAATATGTATTGTTTCTGTCCACAGTGTAGATTAGTTGCTGCATTAATATGCACTAATGTACATTTATGCACTCCTGCTAATCATATCCAGAGCACTTCTGAAGTAAATAGACTCACTGTGTTCCAGCTAGTCCTGTTGTACAAAGCACAGCACTAATCAAGCAAGTTATCTGTGCAATTAGGGAATAGAAATCACTGGGGACATCATGTATTATGATTTGTCTGCTCTATTTTTAAGGTCCTGAAATGCAAACAGATAATAAATTGTGTTAGTGGTAAATTTTTATTATTCTATCTTGAAATTAGAGTGAGACAGGCACCCAAATGGCACATATTGTCAGAAATTGCTGCCTTCTTTCATCCCTTCCCCCTCCCACTCCCCATGCATGACATGTTGTTGAAGCACCTAACTCTCCTTCCTTGCCAGAAAGGCAAGAATGGGGCTACTGTTAGGTCTTGAGCTATCCTAGAGGCAGATGCTTTTCTCTGCCTTGCAGCACAGGGAAGGGAGGGACAGAAGGAGAAATCAGAGGCAGTCAGGGAAGCAAGTGCTCTACTCTGTGCAAAACACTCAGAAATGCCCCTTCTGGCAGAGTGTATCTCCGAGTCTGGGGAAGGGAGGGTGGCCTTGGGCTGGGCATCAGGAACCAAGAATTTGTTCTTTTAGTCTGACTAATTACCACCAGGAGATCTCTGGCAGCCTGAGTCTTGTCATTCCTTTTGGAGCTCCAAAACTGGTGTGGAATAAAGATTTTGGGAGTGGAGGCCATCGGTGCAAACTGAGCACAGCTTTGGGTGGCCCAGGAGAGTGACAGCAGCCAAACTAACTGATTTTTAAGTAGGAGTTGTCTTTGCACATGGGGAACAATCATCTCTTTCACAAGTTTTCCTAAACTATTTTGGGTAGAGTATAGGCTTGAATGCCCAAAATTACTTATTGGGGCTTCTGCATTGCCATTTATAGCCCCAGAAAACTGTTAAAGAACCACATCTAAGGTATGTCACTTATCATTTGGGAGGATGCAGCACCACACTGGTTCTGGAAATCAGTAACCAGTCATGATCCATGCATGTAGGAACAGAGGAGATGTGGTCAGGACCAGGAAGAAAACTCACATAGTTAATATTTTTTCAAGCAAAATTTACTTAATGGAGAAATTTAATCAAATATCCTTAGTCCATCAGACAAGTCTGTGCAAAACTGTGATGGAAAGGTAACAAGGTAAACAAGATAGGAAGTGCCTTACCAAAGTCTTAGAGGAAGATAAATGTACCAGCAAAGAAGGATCTGGCCCACAATATTTGTAAATTCAGGTTTTCTTTATTATAACATATCACTTGTTTCCCATAAAATAATGTAAAATTGTATCAAGTGAAAGGTGACCATTAGTAATTTTTAATCCAAATGTTGGTCTGAGAATGCAGAATGTATAGCATGAACTGCTTCATCCCTCTGGGGAGAGGGGGAAGTTTCTAAATATGAATAGTTTTGAAGACTGGATACATCCCACTTGTTTTTACAGGTTGAAAAATCACCTGAATATATTTGAAGGCACTTTATTTTCTCTGGATTAGTTGCTTATCTCCAAGTGATATAAGCCAAGTACATGTGAGGTCTTTCTGGGGGGTACAGGACTGGTGTCAGTGTGCCATAAATAGAGCTCTCAAATAGCCAGGCCTAGGAGCTCTGAATAAAGCTCCTAGGGTGCAGAGGCGGATGTGGACAGCAGGAATTTATCCCCAGTTAGCTGAGATAGAAAACCCTCCCTGCAGATGTGTATTGAGCAGTGAATCCCAGGGGTGCAGGTAATCTATTGACTGCAGATGGATTGCTGCAGGAGGGAGAAACTCTCAGTCAAAATATGGTTCTATTGCAGCACCATCTACAGCAGCTGGAATCAACCAAATTTATTAACTGCCAAAGAAGCTGGCATGTCTGATCATCTCCTTCCACTCTTTCCTCAAATTCCTCAATATATGGGTCTATTCAGATCTATTTTTTTTTCAGAGTGTTTGAATAAAGTGGGTTTGTTTTTTACAGACTTTCAGTAGTGGATAAATCAATAGTTGTAGTTCTGGGAGACAAGGGAGTGACACTGCCAGCCAGCCATGGGGTTTAAACCACAGCCTGTGGAAATCATCTGTTGAGAAAGGTAAAACACATTCAGGCTGCAGAGAAAGGGAGAATTGGGCAAAGTTAGTGGAAACCAAAAAGGAGTAAGGGCTGAAGATGTTGGGCAGACCAAACAAGACAAACCATGCTGTCTGTTCAGTTCTTCTTTCTCTCCATATTCCTCTTCTCTGCTGATCTTTGGAATTTTATGAGAGGTTTGCATTCATTTTCTTACAAGGTTATTTTCAAAATGAAAATCCTGGGGTTTGTTAAAGTGAAATTAAATAAATTAATTACTGTGTTTGCAATATTGCAGTGGTTTTGCTATTGGGGTGCTATAATTTATAATTGGTAGCTTTTCTTGCCATCTCTTCATTGTTTGATGTTAAATAACTGGAAAATTCCAACTGCAAATATTAATCTGAATTACAGATGTTTTGAAAAGAGAAAAGACTTCCACTTTCCACCTACAGACTTATAGGAGGAATATCTTGTTTTGGAGGGGGGGGGAATTTAACAAAAAACAAAACAAAACCAAAGCAACAAAATAAAGCAAAATCAGACGTACCAAAGCCAACTGAACCCCCAAAAATTAAACCCACACCCTCCAGAGGGTTTCAGAAAGGTGTACCTCGAGGCCCTGGCTCAGTGAAGGGCTGCAGCACCTGCTGGGTTTCCAGGAGTGGTGCCTCTTTCAGCATCAATAACCGAGCACTTAGAGCACTGATCAAGCAACTCACTCCTTGGAGACAAGATTAGCTTCAGCTGATCATATCTGTAGCAGCTTCTCTCTCCTTCAGACCTTTCTCCAGCCCCTGGAACAGAAAACAAAAAGAATATGTTTTTACATCCCTGTGGAAATGGATTTGGGCTTCTCTGGAAATGTTACCCTGCTGTTTATATAGGACCTGCTTGCAGATAAAATAATCAGTGCTGTCTTTGTGTATGCTGCTCTAGTCATCAGCGTCAGAAGGTCATGCTCCTTTATCTTAATTAAAAAAAGGGGGAGAGGAGTTTTTAATAATTAAAAAAAAAAAAAATCTACTTTTTGAAATATCTACCATTCAGTGGTGCTTTATTATACAATTCAATATACCCCTATAAAACTCAGTGCCAAAGCAAAAAACAGGATGACAAAATCCTTTCAGTCCAGAAGCACAGCTGGGCTGCAGCTCTGGTGCCTCACAGAGAATCAGAGCTCTCTGGAATACACACTTGAATTGTCATGTAGTCCCAAGCACGTGCCTTGGATGTGGGCCTCAACCTCCACTTTATGGAATGAGTTTGGTAATTTTGGGTGAAACATGGTGCATCTGAGTGCTTGTCTGAACAGCATCTGCTCTGTCAAGGGCATGGTGTAAAACCTGGCTGGATTTAGGTGACTCCAGTGTTTCAGTACTCTGCCACAACAACATCAGGTCACATTCAGGTCCTCTGGGTGCTATTTTTGTTAATAGAGGTACTTCTCTTTAATCTTCTTCCCACATCCTCTTCCTCCAGTTACCAGGTGAAAAGCCAAGACTTGTAAGGCTAATGAAGCATCCTTTTCCATGCTGGGCCCTCACTGGTGTCTGTAGGTTGAGGTTTTAATGGGCAGGGTGACAGAGGACAGGGGCAGGGTTCAGTGCCCAAGTTTGCACCAGGATCACTATCAGTGTATTGCTAGTTAAAAAAAAAAAAAAATCTAAAAAAGTGGCTTTTTTTTGAGTAGCTGACAGCAACCTATTTTTGCCAAAAAAAATCAGTTCAGGCAATGAAGTCAGATGAAGAAAATGAAAGTTTGCAGGTGCCATGGCTAAGTAAGTGCATTCCTTTTCACCTGAATCCAAGCAATGCGGATCTGCATGTTCAAAAACATGAAATATAATTGTGCCTAATGCTCACACAACACCTTGGATGCAGAAGGACAGCAATTTCTAGGTTTTGAGACACTTGAAGGTGTGACTTTTGTCCCTGTAGTTGCTGAAGTTGTCTGCCTTATTTCTTGGATCCTCCCTGTACAACATTTCTGAGCAGACATCAGTGGATTTGCAAGGCAGTGCAAAATGACATTGGAGATACCAGTCCCTAACAAAGACATGTGAATGTATGATAGATATCAAAAGGTCAAATTCTGCACTGACATTTACCAAGATGTCTCTATAGGTCTTGATATTTTTTTTCTATTATCCCCATGCTTACATTTTATATTCATGTTGTCTAAATTCCACAGTTATCACCTCCAAGCACACCTCTTATTTTAACCATCTCTTCATACCTGTTCTGCTCTATGTGTGCCCATGTCTAAAGTCATTCCTATGTACCTCACTATACATTTATATGAAGTTATTTTACTTGTTTTACTTAAAGGCAAACCATAGAAACAGAAGTAGGTAGTCTCATAAGTCTCAACCTCTGGCCCTTTGTGGATACCATGAAGTTAAAAGAAGTTTTGCCCCATTTTCTAATGGTAGCTAGATAAAACCAAGATATTAACTGCAAAATAACCAGAAGACCAAGCTTATCCTTAAATGAAGAATTTCTGAAGGCCAAGGGATAGTTGGTCTGAATCTTGAACTTTGCTCTTTGGATTTGTGTATGCATCAGTAACTTACATTTCTCATCACTGCCTGCACATCGTGGGATATGACAGCTTTGATGGTCTCCAAGTCCGCTGTGGTCTCATACTGACAGTAATTTAAAAGGTGGTGCTTGAAGAACTTAAAGATGACAAAGTTGAGGTCTAATTTGTTTGGAAACTCTAAAGTTCTTTGTGTCCCCTCAGTTCAACATCCTCGTTCATGCTCTAAAATACACTGTTTCAGGTACTTGATAATTTATATCTATGTGCACTTCTCTTTCTCTCTGAATTTGACTATCTGCCATGGGTTGTAAAAGGATCTTGCAAAATAGAAGGGATTTCTAAAACACTGTGCTGTTTAAGGTTGTGGAGGGGCACTCACCTTGTCAAAGCTTCCTCTGTGATGGGCAATTGCTTAACAGGGTCTTTTGTACAGGCAGTGTGTTGGAAGCATTACTGTCACCTCGTGTATCTTCCCTTCAGTTAAATCAGAAGGACATATCTGGCCATTAAAACGTAACATCTAAAAAAATGGTGCAAACTGCTTGTGAAGTTCCATGTGAAACAACTTCAGTTAAAGGTATTTCTGAGCTTTTTTTCTTCTATTGTACACCCTAAGCCCTTACCCTCAATCAGAACATGATTGTAAATTAAATGTATTCATAGACGCTGCGAGACAAGACAATGCAAGACGACAATGAAGTCAGAATAATCTTGTGGTAATTGCACTGCTCATAGCAGAAACTCAAATTTTCTTTTTTTTCTTTTCTACCCTTTTGTTAGTTGCCTCATCAGCAAAAATCTGGGTCACACAGAGTGGGTGTTCGTGGGGTTTTTAAAAACATTCCAGAGTTAACAGAGCCATAGAAACTTGAAGCATTCTTCTTGTAGCAATATTGCTAATCATAAAATGATGTGTGATTAAGTGCAAATTAAGTAGTAAAGCAAAATAACTGAGTGAATAAAAAGATCGTTAAACTGAACATAAGGTGATATTAGGAGCATAAAACTGCTGAGAAACAAGTTTCTATCAGAGTAACAAATAGGTTCTCTAATCTGAGATCTGTATCTCTCAGCTTGTACTTAAAAAGCGCTTTCTCTCTTTTAAGGGAAGCGGGTCTTTAAGTACTCAGAATGCAGGAGCAAGTTTCCCTTCTTGTCAGTCTGCATGAGGCAAACACGATTGGGAAAGAGATTACAAAGAAATAAAAGGATATTTGAAGTGTCAGTGATGACAAAGTATGATCCAATTCTGCTGCTGGTCTTTTTAAGTAGAGTGGTAAAACTGCATTTTTATGTAAAGTGACTTTCCCCTTTTGGTTCATCTCCCTTTTTAAAGTGCATATGGAGAATAACTTGTTCCACTGCTGTTGCCTCCTTTCACGGGTGAGTTTTGATCAGAACTAAGCTTTTGATGTCAGGTAAGGTTTATTCTATTTCATTGGAAATAGTTACGTGATCTCTGTCAAAGAGCAAGCGCTTTGCTTCTCCTCCATCTGCAACCTTCCTTTCAGAATTAGCCCTGGGCGCTCACCAGTCACATCTCTGAACTGCTGCATCCCAACACGCTTTTGTTTCACCTGTGAATTGTGCAAGTGCAAACCTTCATGTACATAGAGCAGTTCTGTAGTTTTGTCTCCTACTTCAGTGGATTCTTTGTGCCATTCCCACGTTGCTCATTTTTTGTTGCTTTTTTGTACAGTGCAGCTTGCTTTGCCTCCCATGTGCTGCAGCTCGTGTGTGTTGCTGCTGGATGAGGGAGTGAACTTTTCTCTGATTTTAGTTTTCCATGACTCCCCATCATTCTTAAATAAGACTTTATTTGGCATGACATTGCATTTATTGTAAAAGGGAGAATAGGACAGGTAACACTTTTTTAAATTAGAAATAACGAAATATAATATAGAAAGAAAAAAAAATGCATGTTTGTTTAGGTACTTCAGTGAAACCAGCAGTAGACTTTCCCACTGATAACATATCAAATGTAAAAGTTGTGGGCCTGTATTTTAGAATGAAAAAATGTATTTTAGATTTTAGGTCACTAAAAAATATTTTTGCCTAGGATTAGGTTTGCAACCAAAAGGTACTGTAGTCTTGGTGAGGGAAACAGAATTATAAAGCTCAAGTAGCTGTGCATAACTGCAAACCAGATGCTACACACTTCTGATCTAACCACTCAGCCAGCATCCACATTGGAAATTAAAATAGTTTTCAGGAGATGAATGAGGTTCATCCAGTCTCTCTGAATAAATACAGTTGTATTTGCTTGTCTCCCTCATTGTCCTCATCCTATGAACTTATATATATGAGGGACAGATTTTTTCTGTGTGTAGAGAAGCAAGGCTTATTGCTGGCTTCTCTAACTTGGAAGCTTCTATCTGTAACAATTTCACCAACAATGAGGATGTTTATTGAGTGGAAACCCACTAGAGGTTGGGCATTTCAATTAGAGAACATCACTCCTTGCCAGTGCCTACCATAGCAGATGTCTCATTTTCTAATACAGTACTGAATTCTTCCTGACATTTAAATTTTCATCATGGCAATGCTGTTCTGCAGATATGGAGGCAAAGTAAATTAATCTGCTGTGCTTTAAGGGGAGGAGAAAGGGTTTGAATCCTTGTGCATGAGTGTATGAAGAATACGGCATGACAAACAGCAAAACTCTTGATGGCTTTGTTATGGCTGTTGTTTGTTTTTTAAGTAGTAGAAAAGCATTCTGAAGACATATGGAAATGCAAAACAGTCTAAGAAATGAGAACTATCTGATGGGCTATGTGATGAAAAGCAGGTGTAATGTGTGGGAGGGCAATGCAATAGCCTCCAGGACTTTATTTGTGAGAATGTCCTTTGTCTCTGTCTTCCTCCAGCAAACGTGTGGCAGAACTGCCTTTTCAAAAGTGGATCAAAGAATGCTACCAATACATTCTTCTCATCTCCCATTTATCCTTCCATGTCTGTCATACAAACCATTTATTTTTAGGCTCCAAGGAAAGCAGAGAAATTAAATTTTCTGCCAACTTCATTTCAATGCCATCTTCCTTTGTTTCTGATTAATTGGTGCACAGTGTGATGTTCTTAAATAAGCTGTTATCTAACACAGTGGAAGTGATGGAGAGGCAAGGGGATCCCTGACAGTGACATTACAGCTGCTACCTTATAGGAGTGCTGTGGCTTTTCATATGTGATTTGTGGTCTTCAGCTTCTCTTCAGCAAATCACTGATGGTCCCAAGAACAAATAAGTTCAGTGGATTTAGGCACAGAAACATAATGTCACTTCGTACTAAAATGTACCCAAGACATCAGAAAGAAAAGCTTGCCCAGTACTACTTAGGTGATCTGTGCACCTTTAAGGTTATTTCTCATGTCATAGGTGTGCTGAGATGCACAATCCTGCAAATTTCTTGAGACCTGGGTTGTCCTTTCCTGAAGCTATTCAAACACCCTCCTAAATTTTCCATCTCAGATAATTTTTTAATGGTTAGAAAAGTGTCAGCTTCTGTTTACTTGAAGGTGAAGAGGAACAGCCATTAGTTGGACATTTTCACTCAAAAAGGGAACAGTCTCTTTTTTAAAATCATAGTTAAAGCAGCCTTGCTCTTATTAGATCCTTTTGGCAAAAGCTCAGGTACCCTGTCTCTAGGAGGAACAAAGAGGGCAAGTGAGGGTTGAGAAGAGGGAAGGTAATGATGAGAGAACTGAGGTAGAAATTAGGGCCCATGGAAATGTGGGAGGTTAGTCTCATCCAGGTCTGCCTTGGGATCCATCTCTGTTCTCGCTGAAATCGGTGGCATGGCTCCCACTTCCTGCAAAGGCATGAGGAGGAATGCTGAACCCACAGTGCTGTCTGTTCTCTTAGAATACATGTTTTGGAGATGAGGAGAAGTGGAAAATCATCGAAGGCTCTGACAGCAATTGTATAATTGCCTGTTTGTCCACTGCTGTGTGATAGCTGCAGATGAGAGCATGGGGCCTCAGCTCGCTGCAGGTCGATCACTGCCCTTCTGCACACCTCTTGGTACAGATGTGGAACAGACTTTCCAAGACAGATGTGCTAAAAGAAATAGAATAACTGGAATCATCTATATCCACGGATTTTATGAATGATATATTGGAAAGAGCATTAAATACCAGCAGGAGTCCAAGTACGAAGCCTGCATTGTTTCTGATCCAAGCTCACAGATGGATAATTCACTATGCAAGAGATTTTCATGACCAACATTTCAAGCAATCCTGTTTGCCTTGGACCAGCTTTCTTTAAAAAGAGAAAAAAAACCCAACTTTTTGTATCTGGAAGTTTTGATTTCTTTTGGGTAGAGTGTAAAGAGAGGGAGCAAAGGGAAAATCTGCCTGAGGAATTTCCCCCACACTCCTTAAGTGACTGAGAGAACACAGGAGTCTTTGTTAAATCCAGTTAAACTGGAAAGTGGGAACTGAAGGTTGGATGGCAATGAGACTTTCGTAAGATGTGTGCTATGCTATGAAATTCAGTGCCACAAGATTTTATTCTAGCTAGAAATTTAATAAAAACCATGAAAGTGGTTGAAGTATTAATAATATTTTAAATACTTTTTCAAAAAAGAAAGCATTAAAAGACATTTGTGGTATAAGCTCTTAGACCACAGTGAAAGAACTTCTTATATCATCCTTACTTCTCTCTTCTATTGCTTCCATCAGTGGCTCTTGTCCAGTTCTGGCTGTTCTGAATCACCAACCTTCATACCAAAATACTCTGGATTTCCCCACTTTGCACAAACTGAGCCTGCTCATTATGAACAGCAGTCCCAAATGCATTGCTCCAGGAGACAGTGTTAAGCACTACTCTCTGTTTGCCAAGCCACAAGCTGTGAGTTAATGCTCCTGGGTGCCCACCCTCCTATTTTTGTCTGATTTCTGGTGATGATGATTTTGGTGCAATTCACTGTACTGAGTTACAGTAACTATCTAGAATCCTTCCTGGCTAGAAGGATTCTGCCTTAGCACGATTGCTGATACCCCCCTCCTTTTATTGGGCAAAATTCCCCCTTGTAATTGGGCAAGTGAGTCCTCCTAAAGGATGGTGCTTTGCCTTGGTGTTTAAATGCCTGCAAAGCTGATGAGGACTTCTCATCTACATGTTCAATATCTGCATGTGTGCACAAGTGCATACTGCTTTTTAGATCTCAAAATGCAAGCCCACTCTGGGGAATGTTTGCCTTTCTCCCAGAGGGAAGCTTTTAAATATCTGTATTTAGGTAAACATAAAAACCTCTGCTAATTAGTTCACAGAAATAAGTCTTAAATGTTCATTTCCTCACCCATGTCCACTTAACATTGTGGATAATAAAGACAGGTGATGAGAGCAGCAATAAAATTTCTACCTAATCAACACCAAGCTGAGGTGTATGCTGGCAAGAGTGAGGCAAAACAATGGTGAAACCACACACAAGAAAGCTTAAGCATCTTTCCCCCAAAATTGTAAATGTTGTTTCAACAGAAAAGCAAATATTTTGCCCTCTATTTTGTCCCACAGTCATCACTGCGAAAGTTTAGAGGTTGCTTGCCCCTTTCAACTGCAGCCTCCACATGTGAAAATGCAACATTGCTATGGTAACAAGTTGTTTCTCCCATCCATAAAAATAAAGGGCCAGCTTTTCTTCCCCAGTGATAACATCTTATGTTTAACTGCCTTGAGCAGTGCTGACAGGGGCAATCCTTGTTACAATAGCTGGCTCTTCTTGGTCAAACAAATTAAAAAACTACCTGCAGAAACCGACTGTGATGGACCCAATCATAAATAAACTCTCACTGATATTTAGTGCTCTAAACAAATGGAATCCCTCTGGCCCTCCTTCCCTGCTAGGTGCAGAGTACTCATGTTGGTTTCTTATTTGGAGTAATGCATGATGTTGAATTCCAAGCATTTTGTTTGTTTTTTTAAAATAAGGTTTTAATCCAGAGTGCTTTAGGTTAGACACAGTCTGGTAACAAGTACCAGGGACTGCCATCTAGGACACCTCACAGGAGCAGAGGTAAAATACAGTAATTACAAAACTGTACACAGCCCTCTGGCTTAAAGAGATCATTGCATTGTGTCCTCTGCTAGTATTACTGAATATACAAATTCTGAATATAATAGAATACTGAATATACTAATCTGGGGAGAAGGATGGTAAGAACTGTGCTGAAGTGACTTGCCAGAATAGCCCAAGAAACTCATTCCACAGCAGTGAGATGGGCAAGAAATACAAATCGGCATCCTCCTGTTCAGTTTTCCTTATTCTGAAATGCTCTCTAGTTATTCCCTCTCTTATTCAGGTGAAGTTGGGTACAGCAGGCTTAAAACTTGGTCCTCCGCAGCAGAGATGCTGTTTGGGAGAAGAATGGTTTAGAAATGTTGCTGAAGTGACAGTACTTTGGAACTTGAGTGTACATCAATACCTGTTGGAATCTGTACGTATTTCTCTTAAAAAAGAAACCATATACCAACATCTAGAGCCTGAGACAGACTCCATAAAACAAAATAATTACACTTAATGCTAAATAATCCCTGCAGGGCCTGCCACTGTGGGGAAATGTAAAGAATCTATACTCTTTAAGTGTACCAGAGTGTTCCAGTAATGTTTCAAAATGCATGCAAAACGTTGCCAGTGTGTCCATATTTCACAGCAAAAGCTAATCCTTCCCAAGGTCTGAGGGCGTGAAGCCGTGTTTACTCTCTGGCTAATAGCAGGCTTCAGCCACTGACAAGTCAGCCCACTGATACACAGCATGCAGTGCTAGCTGTTACTGCAAATGGACAAAAAAATACAGGTTTAAATAACTTGCATGGCTTTTTGTGCTCTTGGCATGCAAGCATCATCTTGTGCAAAGGTTATTCGGGGCCATTCCGGCCCTTTCTGTGCTTTGCTTAATTGGAGTCCAAAAGCATTTGATGGATAAAAAGATGCTTCTGCAAGCACATTTGAATTGAGGTCTTTGAGATTTCAGAGAATTTTCTCCTGCCTTTACCAGTTGATAAGACAAGGCACCTGGGGAGCACTTTTCATTCCTGTAGCCACAGCTCGTGGGCTCGCTCAGTGGTAGGAGGGTAGGTCAGACAGTGTCTCCTGTGTTCAGCACAGCTCCCTTTGAAGCAATGATGTGATGCCATTCCAGGGTGATGGCAGTCCTTAGGAAGCCTATATTCCCATCCCTTTTAAGAGACCAAAGGAAATAATTGGTTTGTAATGGTTGCCAGCAGCGCAAACACTGTGAGAGGGCTGTTATGTGTTTCTCTGGAAGTGAGCACTCCATGGGACCTCCTTTGCCGGTTCTGAACACACCTGGGGCAGCTTCCACTACTCCTCCAAGGCACCCCTCTGTGTGTGCTCTGCTCAGGCTAAAAGAGACAATACCACTGCTAAAAAATCTTTGGCTGTGGCAGTGCAGGCGTGTGATGTGGGTCCACACTTCAGCGTGTCTGATGTGTGCATCTCTTCTGCACTGACTGAGGGGTCGGCAATTGGTTCTAAATTGTTAATGCTGTTGGAAGATTTTTATTTTTCAATGATTGATCAAGTGTAAAAGTCCACCAAACACCATCTTTTCTCAGTGTGAATGTTTTAAATATCCGTCACTTTCTTCCTCCTTGCTTTCTTACCTTGCTCAGTAAAAGCTTTTTCTCCAGTAGTCAACACTGAAGAAATGTGTCTAAGTTTAATTTTTGCCTTTAAATGCAATAAATAATTAAAGAAAACTACCCTGCTGCATGTATTACTTCCTGGGCCTTTACCATCATTATCAGTGTGGAGTATAATTGCCTTTTTTTTTCTGAGGAGGGAACGAGGCATGGAGAAGTTTGGTCAAATACTGCAAGATTTAGGTGCTTGTTCTTGGTGTCCTCAATTCCATTACCCTGTAAAATTAGTCCTCCTCTACCCTTTCTTTGTTTGCTTTTTTCTTCATTGCTATTTTTGGTTTTGGTTTGTTTTGGTTTTTTTCCTTTTTATGGTAGTGGCAATATCTGTAAAATGACCCAGCAGTACAAACTGCTTGAAAAAAAACTCTCAATCTTTATAGATCAGTCTTGAGAATTTGTGATTAATTTTATCACCCTTTAAATTAAAATGTTCTTCACTTCTGCTTGTTTCCTGTTCTTGTTGAAGTTTTAGTGTGAAGCACCAACAGACCTCAATGGGTGAATTCAGGTGGAGTACAATGGGTAGAGGGGTGAGTTTATCTTGGAACATTTCTTACTGTG